AAAACAAAAAGGTCAATAAAAGGTCTTATTTTGCAGAAACAGAAGCATGAAATGAAAATGGACTGTAATTTACCAGTGTACTGTAATGATTAGTATTTAGTACTTAGTTACCTTTACCTCTGCTGATACTTGATGATAATGTTTCTATTCTGTGAGGATTTCCCTTTTCTACCTCAGTGTGTTTCTGCAGAAACAAGTAGTTTCAGAAATCCACCTGAGTGGAAGTGTTGGAGTCAGATGAAGGACTCGGGCACATACCTGTGTTAATGAGGTGACGCCCAGAGCCTGAGGGAGTTGGCAATTTAACCTCGAATGGAAAATTTATGATATGAAAGGATATAAATCTGTTATTTATTTGTTGTTCAGGTCATTTACTATTGTTGAAGAGGTATAACACAAACAGTATAGAGGAGGGAAACAGTATATTTTATCCTTTATTATAAACTTACAGTCGCCCACAGTGGAGGGAGATAGTAAAGTATTCCATTACAAGTTTGAAATAAAGAGTATTTTACAATTATCTGACACGATTAGATTGTTAATGTCAAGTTTTCACAACATAATATACAGAGTTAATTAAACCGTCTGATGAATGGGAACATGGTCTTCACCCCACAACCTCAGGGTCGGACCCCCTCTGAAGGGTCACAAGATGAGTCTGTGAGGACATGGCATGATAAATGAAATGACACATGGATGGATAGATGGATAGACAGATAGATGATAGATAGACAGATAGATAGATAGAATATACTTAATTCTCATATTCTTGTGTTACAGCAGCAAGGTATCAGGGACATTTTTTTTAATATCGTATTTTTCTTTTCTGTAATATTTGATTTTATTAACAGAAGAGGGAAATATTGAAGTGCAGTACAAGTACCTCAGTATTGTACTTTCTCAACTGTAGTTTCATCGGTTTGTTTGTAATTTAATGCAGGTACATTTTTATTCCTCTCTTTGTTGAGTCTCCTCATTTCTCGATCTCATGTCTGATATACAGAAGATCTTTTATGTTTCTGCACCTTCACCTCGCAAGAACGTGTCTCATTAGAATGAGTCAGTGGTCATTGATGTAAACGGGCAGAACGATTAGTGAATCATTAGAAGATCCGAAAAAATGCTTTGTCACCACTTTCAGCTCCGCATGTGCACCGTTAGAAACACCCAACAACCACCGGGCGTCCTCTCCCTGAAAACACAGAGAGAAAATATCTCTGCAGCCAACGAAAGACAACAACAGATACCCAGAGGCCAGGATTTTACCCCCTTTCATGAGCAGCTGTAACTAGATACGGCTTGCATCCACATTTGCGTGTTTTTCTTCCCTGCCTGAAGGAATGTGGGCATCTGCAAACGTTACATGTTATACAGTCGTGCAGGCTGGTACATGCGTGTGGGCCACACCACATCACGTCACAGTTGAGATTAAAAAAAGCTGGCAGGGAATCTGACATTTCTCACCCAAATTTTCTTTCTGTCATCACAAATCATTTTGGGTTTGTAGAATAAATTATCACGTTGCAAATGCATTGTCAAAGCATCCATTTTTTCAACATTTTAATGTTCATCGTAAATCGGTCTTTTTTGTCATGTTAAAAATAACACGGCTGTTTGCTTGTCAAACTCAGGACAGAATATTTTTCCAGAAAAAAAATAGATTTTCTCCATTAACTGGACTTTTGTCAGGTAACATTGGACATATTGATTTTTTTTTTTTAAACGAACCAAAATAATCTACTAGAGAAATAACAGGTTCATCAAAACATCCTATATAATATAAAGAGGTACAGACTGAAACAGGGGGTCACGCCACATTTAGACTTCATGTACCAGTGTATAAGTGAAAGGTTGAAGTCAAGTTATAAAGACGTTTTTTTTTTTTTTATCAGTCTACATACTTCTATATTCTCTGTTCCACAGCGTCTCTGTTTATCCTGTTTTGGCCTCATGTTCTTATCAAGAGCGTCTCATCCAGACTACACTTCTCTATCTGCAGAGAGTTATTGTGCTCTT